CTGTTTGACGGGAGACAGTGGAGTTTATGAAGGACAGGGGTGATGTGTTCTCTGGAGCGGGTCTGAGTGATGAGGCACGCGGCAGAGTTTTGGACATATTGCAGTTATGTAAAGACTCCAACTCATGCATGAGCTGTGTACAAGTAATAAACACCATCATTAGCTGTATGTCATGTATATAATATGAACAAGTTTGAGTTTATTTTATTAATGTACAGTATCATGCGCAAAAGGGCCCATTCCACACACGTTTTTTCATGACACTGAATCAACAATGAGATGGCCCCAGACCATATGCATATATCAAATGTTACTATTTTACAGTGCAGATCACAAACAGTAAATATCTCATACACAACACTGAATCTGTGTCAACATTCAAGAATTGATTTATTTGCCGTAAAAACATTAGAAAACTGCAATACCGCGGTGTGCAGCAGACAGCACAGACCAGAGCCCTCGCCACATTTCCTCTCCCACACTTTAGCCACAAAAATAAGCAAGAGTAAAAACTTCATTTTGATACATCCATTTCATAATTTACTTCTCTGGTGACCAAAATACATCTGGATTTGAAGCATTTAATCTTTCAAGTAAAAATAAAATGAGGCACATTCTATAGTTCTATAGTATGGGCCACCTCCTTATCCGGGCCAAAGAGAAGTGTGTGGTTCTGTATCAACCTGGATAAATCAAGTGGTAATAATCTGCAATACTAATGTAGGAAAATTATGCAAATCACTTTATTTGTGATTGATCTCATTCATATCCTCACGCTGCCGTTGCTAAAACCGTCAGTGTAAATATTAGTCTGTCAATACAGTACTGCTTTTGCGGACATGTCCAAAAAATGCCCTCAAGCTTATGTCCATTTTTAAACATTTTTCTTTAGCTGATCAGTAATTCACCACATAACTGCAATGGCTTTTATCGCTAATGCTGATCAATATGTTTTTTTCATAGGGAGGAGGTCTAATACGTCATTACGGTCTTCTCACTCTCTCCTTCAGTGATTTTAAGCCTGAAACCCCAACTGCTTATAAACTAGACTTTGACATTTCTTTAGGGCAAATAAAATACAACTTTTGAAAATACGTTGACCAAGGCGGCTTTACTTTTGCTTTAATCTAAAAGTAGATTTCAAATGCATGTTCAAAACAACTACTGTAATGTATTAATTTAAAAATAAAAATTGTAAAGGTGAAGCCAGTCCATGACATTTCACACAGTGCGCCATCTATAGGTTAAAACATGTATATTCAAAAGTACAGCACATTTGTCACATCTCAAAGCGTTTCCTCACATTGCGTTTCAGAATGTCTCCAGCAGGTGGCACTAAACAAACTACATATCTTGCACAAGCTTTGAACGTTCTTTTGGAGAAATACAATAGCTCAGCCCTTTGAGAGGAAGCAGAGAAGGGAAGTCTGCAGGAAAGACCCTGCACACTGCACAAGGGCCGATTTAATGTAAAAAAGATAAGTGTTGAAGAAGGAAAATGCTTAGGATGAGAAGACAACAGCAGATTATTTCTAGAATAAGTCAGCTGAGAACCTCATCAAGTCTAAATGATGGGGACGCCTTAGAAATAAATCAAATGCAAACAAAATCAGACAATTTGTAAACAGACAAAGCAAAAGGGGCCTTTGTCCGCTCTAGAGCCAAGTGGATTGAAGACGGTGGAAAGGCAGAAAAATTATGAATAAATTGAATATCAATAATAATTTAACTGGTGAAATTAGTGTCATAAATGAGCACATCACTGAATTCTATTAAAAAAAATCATACGATACAACATTTTCAACTATTGATGCTGACTTCTTCTTTGATTCTATCAAAGATAGAATTCCTTCTGTAGACATATATTTTAAAGACTTATGTGACTCAGATCTTACTTTAGCTGAACTCAATACTGCTGTAGCTCAGATGGTGGAAAGTAAAAGGCACACGGCGCTGACGGGATAATTACAAAATAACTAACAGACGCAGTGTACGTCAGGGCTGTCCAATTAGTCCAATTGTATTTATTATGGCGCTGAACTTATGGCAATTCTAATCAAAAAATCCCCAGAAATTGAAGGTATCAACATTTTAGAGAGACAATTTTTAATCAGTCAATTTGCTGATGACACAACTATTTTTCTTAAAAACAAAACCATGGTCCAACCTGTAATTGAGAAAATATGCCTTTTTAAAAAAAAAAAAAGCATCTGCTTAACACTGAACATAAAAAAATTGAAGTGAAATTCTGCCTTTTCATACTTAAATAGTATTGAAAATAAAACACGAAGTGAAATATCTTGGATTGATAATGTCTAAAAAAATTTCTGACAGAAAATGCTAATACAACACCTAAACTAAATTCTGTTCAGAAAGTTTTAAACCACTGACTCGTGACTTATCAGAAAGTAGTATACGGCCTAAATCTAAGTCCGAAGGATCAAGACTCATTTATCCATGTAACTCCATGTTTACATCCCCAAAGGTTAGAAAAGCGTCTAACTCAATTTTATTTAAATGTATTTGGAAAAATGAAACCCACCATATTCGCAAATCTCAACTAAGAAAATGAAAATGGAGGATTAAAAGAAAGCTTTAATTTCTTCTTTTAAATGTGTAAGAGAATGTCGGACTCAGTCTCAATCTATTTGGTTCATATTAAACTCGTCAGTAGTGTCGCAGGGCTGACATTTCTATTAAAGTGTGAGTTTGAAGTGTTCAAAGTACCAATTAAATGATCAGCTTTTCAAAGGCAAGCTCTACAATTTGGGAAAATGCTTTTTGCTCAGTATTTCTCACCGCATAAAGCTGTGTTATGGAACAATAGAGTGATACCAACGAGAAATCTTTATTCAGATCTGACTGTGAGAGAGTGGGCTGTGCTTCATTTGTGACTTGTTAAATACAGATAGATCTTTTTTATCACTTGAAAGATTTAACAAAAAATTTAAGTTTAAAGTTTCCACTAATAGTTACACTAAAGTATGTAAAGCTGTTCCCTCTTCTCTTCTCAGACTGATCCCAAATTATTCAGAGTCTACCTCTGTCATAACGAGCTTGCCCTCTCTAACAATTAACCAAATTAATCTACAAGAGAAGAAATGTAATAACAAATTCATTGCCCATGCTTTTAATCAGAACATTTTCTGCAACTTTAATACCAATATAAGATATGATTTAGAAAGCTAATTTAGAAAAAAACATTCACTTTTTATTTGTCACACTCACATACCCATTATATCAGACATTTATCCAGTGGGGATTATACAGCGGCGGTTTCACTTTGATGCTGAACCATTCTCTTTCTGTTCCATTGATAACGAGACTCTTGAACATGTTTTATTCCTGTATGTTTTGACATCACGACTGGATAGTTCTGAACATCTCTAATGTGCCTCAATTCACTCTGGAAGATTTATTTATTTCATGGACAACTTGGACCGTAATGTTTCTGATGTTGTTCATTTGATTATTGTAATGGGGAAATATTTCATACACACATGTAAATGGAAAAACACCAAACCCATTTTTTCTGTTTTTTATAAAAAATACATTTTGAATATTTTAAGTCCTTGCATCTTGTCTCTAAAAATAATAGAAAAGCTTTACTAATGTATGAAAAAATGTGAAAATCTCTCTTTTAAAATGCCTTGCCTGCTTGTGCAATTTCTGTTTGAAAACAAACTGTTCTTTATGCACTTCTCAATTTTTCTGAACATAAATGCTTGATGAGACTAAAATATGAAAAAAAGTGCTCTACCGCCATCATGTGGACAAAAATATGTAAAACACTCTAAGTGCCTACAGTGAATGATGCCTCTGAGACCGATATTACAAGCCATAATACTGTACGTATTTGTACAAAATTTTTCAGAAAAAAAGTCTTCAGAGTGAGACAGGAGGTCCACCCTCATAGCGTGCAGAGTTTAGAGAGGGGTTCCCCATGGAAGCGTGGCCCCCGGAGAGGCCCCACATGGTATACACGGGACAGAGACACGGTCCTCCATCACTTTAGCAAAGGAATTCATATTTACAAATAAAAACAATTTTGTACAATTCATATTTAAAGTCTTGTAACAGTAAAGTTTCTGTTGGACAAGTTAAAAGTAAGACATTGTGACACCACAGAATGTGACAATGACAGTTTTTTATTCACTAAAAATACAAATACTAGAACGTTTGTGACCCCAGGAAAATAGAATAGAAATATCTCCAGTGGACTCGCCCCCGCAGGAGGATCAGGAGGTTAGGGCGGGGACCGTTCAAAGAATTTGTAGAAAATCTAAATTGAACAAATGCTGAGGACTTTCCCAAACCATTATAATATGCGTCAAAAACATTTTTTTTTGAAATTTCATTTTCTTATTTTTGTATAATATAAATTCTGTTCACCAAGGAGTTGTCTAGCACCAGATGCTTTCATACCATTCTGATTGTTTTATATTCATACAATAAACACATCGTTATAAAAAAAACTATAGACCAACATGGCTCTGAGGAGCACAGGGACTGGCCTCCTGCTGGGACTGAGGAGCACAGGGACTGGCCTCCTGCTGGGATCCTGAGGAGCACAGGGACAGGCCTCCTGCTGGGATCCTGAGGAGCACAGGGACAGGCCTCCTGAGGAGCACAGGGACTGGCCTCCTGAGGAGCACAGGGACTGGCCTCCTCCTGGTTTCTTGTTTTGTTCAGCACTTCGAGTTGCATTGAGTATGAACTGTGCTATTCAAATAAACTTGCCATTTAACATTTACTCCATGTCTAAATTATGAAACATTTTAAATCTTGCTCTATTTGTTAAAGGTGCAGGATTTAAGAGCCCTGAAAGTCTAGACTTTTCAAACCCAGCTGCAACCCTGTAATGGGAAACTTCTGGGCCTTTTCACACACAGTACGTAGCACTTGAAATATACTATTCAATACAAATACAAAGTTATTGTGCTTAGATGGTGACCAAGTGGCGTCTTGGATGGTTTTCAAAATAAAAGTCTCAGTGTGGGTCACATAGCGATGCATTTTTTGGGAGAGTCCGCGTTCGCCTTTTGTCGCACGGATTCTGGAAGACAAAAAAAGAAAGAACCGACAAAGGTTTAGGGCCAACGGGGTTTGATTCATGAATCTGTCGCTCCTGCCAAGGTCTAATCACCGAGTCTTAGCAAATGTTCTACAAGACATAAACATATAACATATAAACCGACAGAGTTGGGTTCATACTAATGGGTTAGTTAGAGTCAGAGATCAAGTTAGAGTTAGGGTTAAAGTTAGATAAAGTTAGAGTTAGGGTTAAAGTTAGATAAAGTTAGAGTTAGGGCTAGAGCACCTGCTAGATCCTTCCTGTGAATCCCCACCAGTCCCTCATAAAGGCCTTTGACGGGGTTCTCTCTCTTCATCAGTGCACCATGAAGCCAGATCAGCAGCATCCTGTGGCCATGCTCCTTATAGCTCTGCATGCCTATATGAACACATGAGCACAGGTACACATGAGCAGAGGTACACGTGAGCACAGGTACACATGATCACAGGTACACATGAGCACAGGTACACGTGAGCACAGGTACACATGAGCACAGGTACACGTGAGCACAGGTACACATGATCACAGGTACACATGAGCACAGGTACACGTGAGCACAGGTACACGTGAAGCCAGATCAGCAGCATCCTGTGGCCATGCTCCTTATAGCTCTGCATGCCTATATGAACACATGAGCACAGGTACACATGATCACAGGTACACATGAACACAGGGACACATGAACACAGGGACACATGAACACAGGTCCACATGAACACAGGTAAACATGAAGGCGATTGGGAGCTGGTCTCCACCTGTGAGGGCGACACACACCTGTGGATCATTGATGATCAGGTTAAGGTTTGGGAGGGGGCAGGGTGGGCTACAGTCTTAAAACAAATATTTTAAGTTTAGGGACAGGGTGGGGGTGGGGTTTAGGATTAGACCCTTTAGGGTTAGGATTAGACCCTTTAGGGTTAGGGTTAGACCCTTTAGGGTTAGGATTAGACCCTTTAGGGTTAGGGTTAGACCCTTTAGGGTTAGGGTTAGACCCGTTAGGATTAGGGTTAGACCCTTTAGGATTAGGGTTAGACCCGTTAGGATTAGGGTTAGACCCTTTAGGGTTAGGGTTAGACCCGTTAGGGTTAGGGTTAGACCCGTTAGGGTTTAGGGTTAGACCCGTTAGGGTTTAGGGTTAGACCCGTTAGGATTAGGGTTAGACCCGTTAGGATTAGGGTTAGACCCGTTAGGATTAGGGTTAGACCCGTTAGGATTAGGGTTAGACCCGTTAGGATTAGGGTTAGACCCGTTAGGGTTTAGGGTTAGACCCGTTAGGGTTAGGGTTAGACCCGTTAGGGTTAGGGTTAGACCCGTTAGGGTTAGGGTTAGGGTTAGACCCGTTAGGATTAGGGTTAGACCCGTTAGGATTAGGGTTAGACCCGTTAGGGTTTAGGGTTAGACCCGTTAGGGTTAGGGTTAGGGTTAGACCCGTTAGGATTAGGGTTAGACCCGTTAGGATTAGGATTAGACCCTTTAGGGTTAGGGTTAGACCCGTTAGGGTTAGGGTTAGACCCGTTAGGGTTAGGGTTAGACCCGTTAGGGTTAGGGTTAAACCTGTCCACTGGTGCTGGATGTTCCTCAGGTGAGCGTCGGTGAAGCCCCAGAGCTGAGCCAACAGAAGCCACTCCCCTCTGCACAGACGCCGTGTGGCTAACGTCCACAGCACAGAGCGGATGTGTTGCGTGTCCGAGCTCCGGTCCGGTCTGAAGCTGAGAGGGCGACACAGGCACGAGTCTGGCTCCGAGCTGTGCTCCTAACAACACCCACAGGAGAGGAAGTTTATTTGTATAGCACAGTTCATACAAAAGGAAACTCAAAGTGCTTACCACGTAAACAATAAAAACAAGGAAGATTCAATCCTTCCGTTTGAAAACTAGAGATAGAGATAGATTATTCTATTCTCACAAATATTATCTGATTATTATTCTAATTTTTAGATTGTTACTTTAATGTTATTTTATTTTTATTTATTTTTTTTATAGTGAAATACTATGCAAGCTACTGTGACAACACAATTTCCCTTGTGGATCAATAAAGTCTGTCTAAGTTTAGAGCTAGTCATGACTGCTCCATTGATTGAATGTAAAATTAAAACATTTTTGGGCGCCTAGCAACCAACATTTAAGGCAGTTTAAGCCCTTTTCTCTCCAAGGTTCTGGTTCTGAGATGAGCTTTGCGTTCCACCAGAGAAGAAGAGCTAGTTACCATAACAACACACTGTTCCGTGCAGTATTTAGCCTTTATGTTTTTCAGAGCATCAGTAAAACACAGACCTTTTCCCATTTGTAAAAGCGATCTGCTTTGATGATCATGTCGACCAGGACCACATGGTTCCCTCTGGACGCCACATCTGCACACGACATTCCCTGCTGTTGAGAAAACCATAATGTGTTGAAATAAATACAAACATCACTGAAATCAAACTTGTCTGATTCCACGATATCAACAATGTCTCACTTTGTCGGTTAAATTTAGGTTGACTCCAGAAATCAGCATCATTTCAGCCAAGTCCTGGGATCCCAGTTCAGCCGCGATGTGCAGCGGCGTCTGCTGTCTCTGGGAAAGAGGGCATTTTCATTCAAGGCATTTGTGTCTCATTCCAAATCACAACAGCAGTCGTCTCAGAGGACTTTACAACGTTGTCGATTCACCAACAACAGATCAGAGAATCAAGAAGTTTGAACCGAGAAAATGCAATAACATCAAACACAGAAGCCATTGTTCCAGAGGAAACAGGACCACAGGGACTGGCCTCCTGCTGGGACTCTGAGGAGCACAGGGATTGGCCTATGGGCCTAACAGCAGTATAGAGTACTCGGCCTTCTTGGAGTCCCTGTGAGGGGTACTGGACAGTGCACCGCCCAGGGACTCCATTATTCTCCTAGGGGACTTCAACGCCCATGTGGGAAATGCCAGTGACACTTGGAGAGGGGTGATCGGGAAGAACGGCCCCCCTGATCTGAACCCGAGCGGTGTTCAGTTGTTGGACTTCTGTGCTAGTCACAGTTTGTCCATCATGAACACCATGTTCGAGCACAAGGGTGTCCACCAGTACACGTGGCACCAGGACACCATAGGCCGGAAGTCGATGATTGACTTTATTGTCGTATAATCAGACCTTCGGCCGCGTGTCTCGGACACTCGGGTGAAGAGAGGGGCGGAGCTGTCAACCGATCACCACCTGGTTGTGAGTTGGATCCGCTGGCAGGGGAGGAAGCCCCGGTCAGGCCTGGCAGACCCAAGCGTGTAGTGAGGGTCTGCTGGGAACGTCTTGCTGAGCCCCCTGTCAGACGGACTTTCAACTCGCACCTCCGGGAGAGCTTCTCCCAGGTCCCGGCGGAGGAGGGGGACATTGAGTCCTAGTGGACCATGTTCTCTTCCTCAATCGCCGATGCGGCGGCTCGTAGCTGTGGTCGCAAGGTCTCTGGTGCTGGTCCCCGAACCTGGTGGTGGACACCGGCAGTAAGGGATGCCGTCAGGCTGAAGAAGGAGTCCTATCGAGCCATGACGGTTCGTAGGACTCCTGAGGCAGCTGTCCAGTACCGGCAGGCCAAGCGTGCCGTGGCCCGGGCTGTTGCAGAGGCAAAAACCCGGGATTGGGAGGAGTTCGGAGAGTCCATGGAGCATGACTATCGGTCGGCCTCGAAGAGATTCTGGCAAACCGTCCGGCGCCTCAGGAGGAAGCAGTTCTTTGCCAACACCGTGTACGGTGCGGGTGGAGAGCTGCTGACCTCGACTGGGGATATTCTTCTTAAGTCTCTGGATGTTGTAGGACTGTCTTGGCTGACACGTCTCTGCAACATCGCGTGGCGATCGGGGGCGGGGCCAATGGAGTGGCAGACCGGGGTGGTGGTCCTCTCTACAAGAAGGGGGACCAAAGAGGGAGCTGAGCCGAAGGCAAAGCTCTCGATTTACCGGTCAATCTTCTTTCCCTTTCTCACCTCTGGTCATGAGCTTTGGGTAATGACCGAAAGAACGAGATCGCGGATACCAGCGGTCGAAATGAGCTTCCTCCGCAGAGTGGCTGCTCCCTTAGAGATAGGGTGAGGAGCTCAGTCACACGGGAGGAGCTCGGACTAGAGCCCGTACTTCTCCACGTCCAGAGGAACCAGTTGAGGTGGCTCTGGCATCTGTTCCGGATGCCTCCTAGACGCCTCCCTGGGGAGGTGTTCTGGGCACGTCCCAGCGGGAAGAGGCCCCGGGGAAGACCCAGGACACGCTGGAGGGATTATGTCTCTCAGCTGGCCTGGGAACGCCTTGGGATCCCCCCAGACGAGCTGGAGGAAGTGTGTGTGGATAGGGAAGTCTGGGCGTCCCTGCTTAGACTGCTGCCCCCTCAACCCGGCAACGGATGAAGCGGAAGAAAATGGATGGATGGATGGTTTATATCTTGTTTTGTTCAGCACTTTGTGTTGCCTTGTGTATGAACTGTGCTATACCAATAAACTTGCCTTGTAAGTGGGTGTCAGGTGCAGGATAACTCACATTATCGGTGAGGTCCAAGTTGCACCCGGCATCGACCAGGACCCGGGCCACTTCAGTGTGATTGTTGGACACAGCCAGGTGGAGGGCACTGTTGCTTTGCTGTAGGAGAGAATGGAGTATAGTTTATTTAGGTACATCTTTGCTGGGTTAGGGTTAGCGTTTAGGGTTAGCATTAGGGTTTAGGGTTTTTGAGGGCGCGGACCAACATTGTCCACAGCATCACAGTCGATTCCTGCGTCGATCAGAAGACACGCCTCTCTCTCACAGCCGCGCTCCGCCGCAAAGTGCAGCGCCGTCCTGTGTCTCTGCAACAGAACAGAACAGTCAGAGACGAGAGAGAGACCAGAGAGAGACCAGAGAGAGACCAGAGAGACCAGAGAGAGACCAGAGAGAGACCAGAGAGACCAGAGAGACCAGAGAGAGACCAGAGAGACCAGAGAGAGACCAGAGAGACCAGAGAGAGACCAGCGAGAGACCAGAGAGAGACCAGCGAGAGACCAGAGAGAGACCAGAGAGAGACCAGAGAGAGACCAGAGAGAGACCAGAGAGAGACCAGAGAGACCAGAGAGAGACCAGAGAGACCAGAGAGAGACCAGAGAGAGACCAGCGAGAGACCAGAGAGAGACCAGAGAGAGACCAGAGAGACCAGAGAGACCAGAGAGAGACCAGAGAGACCAGAGAGAGACCAGCGAGAGACCAGAGAGAGACCAGCGAGAGACCAAAGAGAGACCAGCGAGAGACCAGAGGGAGACCAGAGGGAGACCAGGGAGAGACCAGAGGGTTACCTTGGTGAGAGCGTTGATGTTGCAGTCAGACTCGATGAGGAACCTCACACAGAGAGTGTGTCCTCCTTCAGCCGCGAAGTGCAGAGCCGTCAATCCATCCTGAAACAAAACTCAAGGGTCAATTCTACAGATCACAAGTTAAAGGTCCAAATGAAAAAACATGTTAACCAATAACAAATGTGACATATTTAAGAATATTTACCTCCACCATGTTTTTGAATTGTCTCAAAGGCTTAGAAAGTGACACACATACAAAAGGCTGGAGGACTCTCAATGCTCCATCTTCAAACACAGTTGTTGATAAGGGACAAAAAGGAGTTTGAGCGGGAGTTGGGGGCCACTGTGGAAGGGTTAGGCTACCGTAGTACCGTAAATTACAATATATGAGCTCCACGCTAGATGGGAGTTAAAAACTACACAGTGTACCTTTAAAGCTGGGGTACCCAACTTTCTCCCCATTAACAATATGGGGAAAAAGTTAGGTTTACAGCTAACTTCCCTAGCATAGGTCTCAGAGGAACAGAAGGTAGCTGGTTTAAACCCTATTTATCGGAACCAATACTCCTCACCCTACTATTTTTGGTGTGCCACAAGGATCGGTACTCAGTCCAATGGGCTTCACATTGAATTGTTTACACTTGTACGAACGAGCCCTGTCAGTCATATCAAATCGCTTTAGGCTGAGTGGTGAAAGAGTTGATCTAAAGCTGTGACAGAGACCGAAGTATAATGTATACATACAATAAATACATGTGAATAAGCTATGATAGAACTGTTTTGAGAGATAATAACTAGTTACATGGATTTCACAGTATTAGTCAAAAAAACCTTACTATATTCACTTCGTCCACGTCCAGGCCCATCTCCACCAGTTTGTTTAGGGCGTCGCTTTGGCCGTGTTTCGCAGCTAAATGCATCGCTGTGTTTTCGTCCTAGAATCCAAATCCAAATCCAAATCATATAACAAAACAGTGCTTTCTCTGGGTAATCTTAGTCATGTGTGGTCTTGTTTGTGTTGTCGTTACCTTGTCTTTCAGCCCATGTCTGCAGCCCATCCCGATCAGGAAGTCCAGCACCTCCGTCTGTCCCTGTTCTGCGGCCAGATGCAGTGCTGTTTTTCCAGACTGAAGACGCAGTAATAAAGGTAAGCTTGAGGCCGCGATAATAGTTGAAAATATAAAATTACACCGAAAGCAAGAGACAGCAAGAGATCCTTGAATCGTCCCACAGTGGGGATATTTCATGGTGGCATCAAGATACAGAACAGTAGAAAAGAGGAGCACACAACAGAAGATATATAAGTATAGCATAATATTAAGAATTTCCACAACCACCTCCCCCTCCAACAAAGACTCCTCACCTCCTCACTCCTCCTCATCACCTCCCATGGACCTGCCACATCCACTCCATCAAAGGAAAATGAGGACGACCCTTCCTTTTGTTTTCCATCCCCGCCTTCACTACTAGACTTACCTGAACACTCTTCAGGCATAATAAAATCACTTCCACACCAAAAGCTTCTCCGGTGGGCACAGAGGCATTGTGTACAAAGGAGGTGGGTACAGAGGAGAAGGGTTCAGAGGAGGTGGGTTCAGAGGAGGTGGGTTCAGAGGATGTGGGTACAGAGGAGGTGGGTACAGAGGAGGTGGGTACAGAGAGGAGGTGGGTACAGATGATGTGGGTACAGATGATGTGGGTACAGAGGAGGTGGGTACAGAGGAGGTGGGATCAGAGGAGGTGGGTACAGAGGAGGTGGGTACAGAGGAGGTGAGTACAGAGGAGGTGGGTACAGAGGAGGTGGGTACAGAGGATGTGGGTACAGAGGAGGTGGGTACAGAGGAGGTGGGTACATAGGAGGTGGGTACAGAGGAGGTGGGTTCAGAGGAGGTGGGTACAGAGGATGTGGGTACAGAGGAGGTGGGTACAGAGGAGGTGGGTACAGAGGAGGTGGGTACAGAGGAGGTGGGTACAGAGAGGAGGCGGGTACAGATGATGTGGGTACAGATGATGTGGGTACAGAGGAGGTGGGTACAGAGGAGGTGGTACAGAGGAGGTGGGATCAGAGGAGGTGGGTACAGAGGAGGTGGGTACAGAGGAGGTGGGTACAGAGGAGGTGAGTACAGAGGAGGTGGGTACAGAGGAGGTGAGTACAGAGGAGGTGGGTACAGAGGAGGTGGGTACAGAGGAGGTGGGTACAGAGGAGGTGGGTACAGAGAAGGTGGGTACAGAGGAGGTGGGATCAGAGGATGTGGGTACAGAGGAGGTGGGTACAAAGGAGGTGGGTACAGAGGAGGTGGGTTCAGAGGATGTGGGTACAGAGAGGAGGTGGGTACAGATGATGTGGGTACAGAGGAGGTGGGATCAGAGGATGTGGGTACAGAGGAGGTGGGTACAGAGGAGGTGGGTACAGAGGAGGTGGGTACAAAGGAGGTGGGATCAGAGGATGTGGGTACAGAGGAGGTGGGTACAGAGGAGGTGGGTACAAAGGAGGTGGGACAGAGGATGTGGGTACAGAGGAGGTGGGTACAGAGGAGGTGGGTACAGAGGAGGTGGGTACAAAGGAGGTGGGTACAGAGGAGGTGGGTTCAGAGGAGGTGGGTACAGAGAGGAGGTGGGTACAGAGAGGAGGTGGGTACAGATGATGTGGGTACAGATGATGTGGGTACAGAGGAGGTGGGTACAGAGGAGGTGGGTACAGAGGAGGTGAGTACAGAGGAGGTGGGTACAGAGGAGGTGGGTACAGAGGATGTGGGTACAGAGGAGGTGGGTACAGAGGAGGTGAGTACAGAGGAGGTGGGTACAAAGGAGGTGGGTACAGAGGAGGTGGGTTCAGAGGAGGTGGGTACAGAGGGGGTGGGTACAGAGGAGGTGGGTACAGAGGAGGTGGGTACAGAGGAGGTGGGTACAAAGGAGGTGGGTACAGAGGATGTGGGTACAGAGGAGGTGGGTACAGAGGAGGTGGGTACAGAGGAGGTGAGTACAGAGGAGGTGGGTACAGAGGAGGTGAGTACAGAGGAGGTGGGTACAAAGGAGGTGGGTACAGAGGAGGTGGGTTCAGAGGATGTGGGTACACAGAGGAGGTGGGTAGAGAGGATGTGGGTACAGAGGAGGTGGGTACAGAGGAGGTGGGTACAGAGGAGGTGGGTACAGAGGAGGTGGGTTCAGAGGAGGTGGGTACAGAGGAGGTGGGTTCAGAGGAGGTGGGTACAGAGGGGGTGGGTACGGAGGGGGTGGGTACAGAGGAGGTGGGATCGAGAAGGTGGGATCAGAGGAGGTGGGATCAGAGGAGGTGGGTACAGAGGAGGTGGGTACAGAGGAGGTGGGTACAGAGGAGGTGAGTTCAGAGGAGGTGGGTACAGAGGTTGTGGGTAAAGAGGAGGTGGGTACAGAGGAGGTGGGTACAGAGGATGTGGGTACAGAGGAGGTGGGATCAGAGGAGGTGGGTACAGAGGAGGTGGGATCAGAGGAGGTGGGTTCAGAGGAGGTGGGTACAGAGGGGGTGGGTACAGAGGGGGTGGGTACAGAGGAGGTGGGTACAGAGGAGGTGGGTACAGAGGAGGTGGGTACAGAGAAGGTGGGTACAGAGAAGGTGGGTACAGAGGAGGTGGGTACAGAGGAGGTGGGTACAGAGGAGGTGGGTTCAGAGGAGGTGGGTACAGAGGAGGTGGGTACAGAGGAGGTGGGTACAGAGGAGGTGGGATCAGAGGAGGTGGGTTCAGAGGAGGTGGATACAGAGGCGGTGGGTCCAGAGGCGGTGGGTCCAGAGGCGGTGGGTACAGAGGCGGTGGGTACAGAGGAGGTGGGTACAGAGGAGGTGGGTCCAGAGGCGTGGGTACAGAGGAGGTGAGTACAGAGGAGGTGGGTACAGAGGAGGTGGGTACAGAGGAGGTGGGTACAGAGGAGGTGGGTACAGAGGAGGTGGGTACAGAGAAGGTGGGTACAGAGGAGGTGGGTACAGAGGAGGTGGTACAGAGGAGGTGGGTACAGAGGAGGTGGAATCAGAGGAGGTGGGTACAGAGGAGGTGGGATCAGAGGCGGTGGGTACAGAGGAGGTGGGTTTGTCTAAACAAGATGGATCTTTGGTGCATTCTTATTCCTTCGCTTTAATAGCGTCTCTGCTCGTACACCCGTGAGGAGCTTCTGAACATCAGACCATCCCCATGGACCTACTGCCCCCATGGACCTACTGCCTCATGGACCTACTGCCTCATGGACCTACTGCCTCATGGACTTACTGCCCCCATGGACCTACTGCCCCCATGGACTTACTGCCCCCATGGACCTACTGCCTCATGGACCTACTGCCTCATGGACCTACTGCCTCATGGACCTACTGCCTCATGGACCTACTGCCTCATGGACCTACTGCCCCCATGGACCTACTGCCCCATGGACCTACTGCCCCCATGGACCTAACCTTCACTAACCCTAACCCTCCCTAACCCTGACTAACCTTCACTAACCCACACTAACCCTCACTAACCCTGACTAACCCTCACTAACCCACACTAATCCTCACTAACCCTAACCCTCACTGACCCACACTAACCCTAACCCTCACTAACCCACACTAACCCTAACCCACACTAACCCTAACCCACACTAACCCTGACTAACCCTGGCTAACCCTGGCTAACCCTGGGCTTAAGGACACTTCAGAGAGTGTTCACACTATCATGTGAAGATGAAACCACAGGGCACCTGGTCTGTGTGGTCCAGGTGGATTCCCTCCAGGTCCTCCATAACGAACTCCAGGATGTGCACGTGGCCTCTGAGAGCGGCGCAGTGGAGCATGCTCAGTCCGTCCTACAGACAAAGATGATGTATTTCTAAAATAAACAGTATAAATATTTATACATACAGTATATACATATACACATACACCAGATCTTACTTTGTTTTCGCTGTTTAACTTTGCTCCACACGACACCAGAATCTGCAGAATCTTCAGGTGTCCAAACCAAGAGGCGAGGAGCAGTGCGTTCATCCCGTACTAAACACACACGGACACGCACACACAGACACGCACACACGGACACACACAAACATTTGATTAGAGACAAATGCAGAAACACAAAGTCAAACTTCTGCGACCTACAGCGTCCTGCTTGTCCACGTCTGAGTCGTGTTGAAGGAGGAGCCGCACGGACTCCTCAGCCCCTGCTCCTGCTGCGAGGTGCAAGGCCTTCCGGTCCACCTACACACACACACACACACACACAGACACACACAGATACAGACACACAGACACACACAGACACACAGACACACACACACAGATTTTAGATTTCTTTTAACAATAATGCCTATATTGACTTGTGTGTCAGTACTGAAATGACTGCGACGTGTTAAACAAAGATAACTGAAGCAAACACAGAGAACATTAAACACCAGGCTCTGTGTTCTAGAGCAGCCAACACCAGGCTCTGTGTTCTAGAGCAGCCAACACCAGGCTCTGTGTTCTAGAGCAGCCAACACCAGGCTCCGTGTTCTAGAGCAGCCAACACCAGGCTCTGTGTTCTAGAGCACAGCCTTTAGATGAGGCCTGGAAACGCTTGTGGCCAGTAGGTGGCAGTGGAACAACACCACACACCAGCCGGATACTCACGGTTGGCACTAGATCATATACGGAATCGGGACAAAACCGGAAGTAACAATCCTACTCTCAAACTAGTTTTAGACTAATAAATCCTTAAGTGGTGACTGGTTAAGTTTCAGGCCAAAGACGGGAAAGAACCAACATCATTCTGTAAGAGCAGAGAGAGACCAGAGAGAGAGACCAGAGAGAGACCAGAGAGAGGCCAGAGAGAGAGACCAGAGAGAGACCAGAGAGAGACCAGAGAGAGAGACCAGAGAGAGACCAGAGAGAGACCAGAGAGAGAGACCAGAGAGAGACCAGAGAGAGAGACCAGAGAGAGACCAGAGAGAGAGACCAGAGAGAGACCAGAGAGAGAGACCAGAGAGAGACCAGAGAGAGAGACCAGAGAGAGAGACCAGAGAGAGACCAGAGAGAGGGACCAGAGAGAGAGACCAGAGAGAGAGACCAGAGAGAGACCAGAGAGAGAGACCAGAGAGAGACCAGAGAGAGAGACCAGAGAGAGAGACCAGAGAGAGACCAGAGAGAGAGACCAGAGAGAGACCAGAGAGAGAGACCAGAGAGAGACCAGAGAGAGAGACCAGAGAGAGACCAGAGAGAGAGACCAGAGAGAGAGACCAGAGAGAGACCAGAGAGAGAGACCAGAGAGAGACCAGAGAGAGAGAGACCAGAGAGAGACCAGAGAGAGAGACCAGAGAGAGACCAGAGAGAGAGAAACAGAGAGAGAGACCAGAGAGAGAGACCAGAGAGAGACCAGAGAGAGACCAGAGAGAGAGACCAGAGAGAGACCAGAGAGAGAGACCAGAGAGAGAGACCAGAGAGAGACCAGAGAGAGGGACCAGAGAGAGACCAGAGAGAGAGACCAGAGAGAGAGACCAGAGAGAGACCAGAGAGAAAGACCAGAGAGAGACCAGGTTCCTGGTTCTGACCCACTGAAGCATTCTGACACCTTTCTGCCTGATGCCATTTTTCATTTGGATGTTTCCACTGTCACAGACGTCTTCACAGACTTGTTCCTTTTTGTTGTTGTTGTTGTTGTTGTTGTTGTTGTTGTTGTTGTTGTTGTCAGAGTTAATCTATTCTTTACTTTATTCTTGGCCTTCGGGTCCACGCCCCTCTTCATGAGCTCCTCCATCTTCTTTGTGTCGTTCCTTTTGGCAGCAGCGTGGAACTCCTGCTCTGAGCACAACACTGGACACACACAGACACACACACACAGACAGACACAGACACACACACACACAGACAGACACAGACACACACACACACAGACAGACACAGACACACAGACACACACACACACAAAGACACAGACACACACACACATAGACACACACACACACACACACACAAAAACACAAACACACACACAGACAGACACACAGACACAGGTCCATGAGTTTGTATTACAGAGTAAACTTCCGGTGGTTTCAGAGTCAGGTACCCCACCTTTAATGTACTATAATGTGATGTGTATTTTTCTTCTGCTGTGAAGCACTTTGAGTTTCCTTGTGTATGAACAATACAAATGTTGTGTATGAACAATACAAATGTTGTGTATGAACAATACAAATGTTGTGTATGAACAATACAAATGTTGTGTATGAACAATACAAATGTTGTGTATGAACAATACAAATGTTGTGTATGAACAAAACAAATGTTTTAGTTTCTTTCAAGCACACCATGAAGAAGTGTGTCATGTTGGTTTATTAAATGAATTTGTTTGAATCTGCAGCAGAGAAAGGAAACACATAAATAAACATCTGCTGTGGCTGCTGTCATCTTCACTACATCTAAATCTAACAGATTCCAAATGAAACGTCATGACACTGCCACACAGTGAGTGTATTTGCCACAGACTGTTTACACTCCCTGAACACGGACGTCCTGCCGCGGACACACGAACCAGGACCCTTTTCTGCACATATTTTACTCACAAACGTCATCTTCTGAAGCGAGATCGTCCTCCATGTTGGAGCTGGATTCAGAGATGGTTCTTGCTCCTCTTCTGCTCTGCCATGTCTCCTTTTCTCCAGATATGGGTTTTCAAGGCGCAATAATGTGTGAGAGACGAGCGTCAGGGCTGCGTCCGAATAACACTAACAACGCACGCTCTCTTAACTTTCCTTTTTCTTCTGCTTTGACCAGGATTGAATTTCAACTGACATTAGTGACATCACATTCATTGTACACAGGACCTGCACCAATCCTGGAGCTACTCTCTCATAAAAGATTCATGGAGAGGACAAGGACGGACAAGGAGATAAGTTATTTTTACGCATTTGAACGCAGCCCTTCGCTGCTGATGACCTGAGGACTGGTGATGGGATGGTGCCAAGTTTTACGTAAAATACGGTTGAAATCCGGTTATCTTTTCAAAATAAAACGTATAATTGATTCACGTCTTCTGATTCTAACATTCACTGGTTGGTTATTGAAAGTGAAGGAATAATATGTAATTCAAACATATAGGGTAAATACTATAGCTTTGGTTAATATTGTGGTTATCCTGCTGATGATTAGGGTTAGGAGTTTAAGGAGTTCACATTAAAGCTCAAGGGTGGGTTAAACTATAACTATAGATAACTAAATATGACTAATGTCCCTGTCAACACCATTTAAATAAACAAGGATGGTCCTTTTTAATTCATTTTACATCTGAAAGAGCAGATTTAATGCATTGATCAGGCCACAAGACATGTAGGGCCAGTGTTGGTGGGAATACTTTACAGCTACAGCCTCGGCCCTGGGTCTAAAGCCTCAGTACCGGGTCTACAGCCTCAGTCCCGGGTCTACAGCCTTGGTCCTGGCTGGGTCTAAAGCCTCAGTACCGGGTCTACAGCCTCAGTCCTGGGTCTACAGCCTCAGTCCCGGGTCTACAGCCGCAATCCTGTTAGTGCCATGAGAACCAACTCTGAGGAGTGCAGGGACTGGCCTCCTGCTGTGACTCTGAGGAGCACAGGGACTGGCTTCCTGCTGTGACTCTGAGGAGCACAGGGATTGGCCTCCTGCTGTGACTCTGAGGAGCACAGGGATTGGCCTCCTGCTGTGACTCTGAGGAGCACAGGGACTGGCCTCCTGCTGTGACTCTGAGGAGCACAGGGATTGGCCTCCTGCTGTGACTCTGAGGAGCACAGGGACTGGCCTTTACTCTTTTTAATGCAGTGCTTATATATGATTGTTTTTGTGGACCTTTTTTTCTTTTGTCTTGTGTATGAACTGTGCTATACAAATAAACGTGCCTAAATAAGTTGTATTAAGTAAATTGGCTCAAGTCTGATAGAAGAAAGTAGACTTGATGTAGTTTATGTCTATAGATAGTTTTAGTTGTTTTAGTCTTTTCTTCCCCGTCAAACAAACAGATGAAACAGAGCCTGTTTTAAACTCAAAAACACAAAAACAAAGGACTAAGAACGTGTTATTGATCCCAACGTTTATTGGAAACATTGTAAGAAAGAATACAAAATGCAGTTAGTCACAAAACCAATGTTTCAAAGCCTGGAGAGAGACACATTGTTGTTATTCTGTTAATTAGATAGTTCCTGTTTTTACAAAATCCAATATCTTTGTTATTCACACAATTCAATCCTGAACTACGTCAAAGAAGACGTTTAAAACATTATTATTATTATGCTGGTATTATTATTGATAGTATTTCATATGTTTAAAACCTTATTATTATGCTGGTATTATTATTATTGACATTATTTATCAGTCAAACTTACAGTGGCGCCGTTGTGTTGCTGCTAAAAGACACCATATCAGTCAAATACAAAAGCTACATTTAGGCCCACGTTAAAAAAACTACTTTCCATAAAAATTGGAACAAAAGTGACACAGCTTTTCCAGTCATCAGTTCAAAGTTCCCAAAGTTCCTGACCTGCTCCAATCTATCACATGTTTATCAAAATCTATCAAATCTGTGAACAATGTTTTAACTAGGGATGAACCACACTCAGCCTAACTCTAACCTGGCATCACTTTCATTTATTTGATTAAATTGTGCATATTTAAGTACAGCGCACAGTGAAGCCATAGATCAGGAACCTGTAATGTTCTTTAAAAATATGACAGACACAAGAGAGAGAAATTTCCAGAAAATCCTATAGTTGAGAAATGTGAAAGTCGGTAGCTGAATAAAGACGTCTTTGCCTCACTGTAAGATTCAAATCAAAAATAGTTTTTCCATCAAACTCTAGTTTTCTCCACGTCAGACCTTCAAAGACAGACTCTGCGTTCTTCCTTCACAGACAGACGCTCTTCCTTCACAGACAGACGCTCTTCCTTCACAGACAGACGTTCTTCCTCCACAGACAGACGCTCTTCCTTCACAGACAGACGCTCTTCCTTCACAGACAGACGCTCTTCCTTCACAGACAGACGTTCTTCCTTCACAGACAGACGCTCTTCCTTCACAGACAGACATTCTTCCTTCACAGACAGACGTTCTTCCTTCACAGACAGACCTTCTTCCTTCACAGACAGACGCTCTTCCTTCACAGACAGACGTTCTTCCTCCACAGACAGACGCTCTTCCTTCACAGACAGACCTTCTTCCTTCACAGACAGACCTTCTTCCTTCACAGACAGACGCTCTTCCTTCACAGACAGACGTTCTTCCTCCACAGACAGACGCTCTTCCTTCACAGACAGACCTTCTTCCTTCTCAGACAGACGCTCTTCCTTCTCAGACAGACGCTCTTCCTTCACAGACAGACGTTCTTCCTCCACAGACAGACGTTCTTCCTTCACAGACAGACGCTCTTCCTTCACAGACAGACGCTCTTCCTTCACAGACAGACGCTCTTCCTCCACAGACAGACGCTCTTCCTTCACAGACAGACGTTCTTCCTTCACAGACAGACGCTCTTTCTTCACAGACAGACGCTCTTCCTTCTCAGACAGACGCTCTTCCTTCACAGACAGACGCTCTTCCTTCACAGACAGACGCTCTTCCTTCTCAGACAGACGCTCTTCCTTCACAGACAGACGCTCTTCCTTCACAGACAGACGCTCTTCCTTCACAGACAGACGCTCTTCCTTCTCAGACAGACGCTCTTCCTTCACAGACAGACGCTCTTCCTTCTCAGACAGACGCTCTTCCTTCACAGACAGACCTTCTTCCTTCACAGACAGACGCTCTTCCTTCACAGACAGACGCTCTTCCTTCACAGACAGACGCTCTTCCTTCTCAGACAGACGCTCTTCCTTCACAGACAGACGCTCTTCCTTCTCAGACAGACGCTCTTCCTTCACAGACAGACCTTCTTCCTTCACAGACAGACGCTCTTCCTTCACAGACAGACGCTCTTCCTTCACAGACAGACGCTCTTCCTTCACCAGCTCTTCCTCGCGTTCTTGGACAGTGTGAGTTTCCTGCAGGCTCTGAGCACCTGATCCGCCTTCAGTAACTTCTCCATGGCTTCAGTCAGTAGATGCTCCGGTCTCCCCCCTCCTCCCACTTCTCCCCCCTGGGCTCGGGACGCCCTGGTCAGCAGCTCGCTCGTGTCCTCCATCTCCGCAGCCACCTCCTTCTCCAGTTTTTCCATATTCACACCTCCACTTTCCAAACTTGTCTTTTCCTCGCAAGAATCTAACAGGATATTCCCGCTGGATAATGAGCGCTTTTCCGGTTTTAGTGGTATTAACGGTTTTATCGGTGTCTGCGGTTTGGAAAGCCACGACGTGTAGCCTTTAGCGTGCCGAGTTTGTGCGTTTACGGCCGGCCATTTCTCGTGATTAATCTCCGAATCATCGGACGCGTTGTTCTCGATCGCCAACGGGTCTTCACTTTCAGAATCTCCGCTATTGTCGTCGGAATGCTGCCCGCTGTCAACGGATTTCTCCTCTGCCTTTTTACTGTCATTCTCTCCTTCTCTTTGACCCAGCTTTGGACTTAACGGCACACTTCCTGATTCTGTTACCGACACCACTGGAACCTCCGCTTTAGCATCGTCCGCTTTAGCATTGTCCGCTTTAGCATTGCCCGCTTTAGCATTGCCCGCTTTAGCATTGTCCGCTTTAGCATTGCCCGCTTTAGCATCGTCCGCTTTAGCATTGTCCGCTTTAGCATCGTCCGCTTTAGCATTGTCCGCTTTAGCATTGTCCGCTTTAGCATTGTCCGCTTTAGCATTGTCCACTTTAGCATTGTCCGCTTTAGCATTGTCCACTTTAGCGACATCTGCTTTAGCCTCGTCTGCTTTAGCCTCGTCCGCTTTAGCCTCGTCCGCTTTAGCATCGCCTGCTTCGAGGTTATTTTCAAGCGTTGTGGGACTTTCCTGGATTTCCTTCACAATATTTTCTGTTTTTAACCCAAACCCTTCCTCTTCATTCTGAAGAGCCTCCTGGATCTTCTCTGCAGTGGGTTTCTTTGTTTTGCTTGGGGGAGTGGGGGGGTGTGCAGTGGTTGTGGTTGGGGGAGTGGTTGGGGGAGTGGGGGGGTGTGCAGTGGTTGGGGGAGGGTCTTGTGGAGTGATGAGAGACAGCAGTGGTTTGTTTGGAGGCATCAGAGGAAGCTTCTTCTTCTTCAGATTAGGACTTGTTTCTGCTTCACTCGACTCTGTGTCTTTGACCTGGAAACGACACAGAGTTCATTTAAAAATGGTATAATAATAATTCTGTTTATAGGAGTGTGTCCCTAGAGGAACGCCAGGGTATTACAGGGGTATTTAAGTAACACTTATATCAAACGTAAACGGTGAGCGTAAAGTGGCCCATTATGGGATGTTCTTTATTCTATTCTAAACATTTATTCCTAAAACCCAGAAGATGATCATCATTCTCTAATTGGTCTTAATTCTTCATTTGAATTAATTACAGGAAAAGGCGACAAAAATGTGACTCTTTTGAGATTGAGAAACTAAACAGGACCTTTGACCTAAGAATAGACCTTATGAGTTAAAGCTGGGTAACCTAACTTTGTATCCACAAAAATAGAACAAGCCAATAGACTTTCTTAAAACAGTTTGGTTTAATCACTGCTAACCTGGCTCAGAACCAGAACTAGTCCAGATAAAGTCCAGAACCAGTCCAGGAGGCACCCTGAACCAGTCCAAAACCAGTCCAGGAGGCACCCTGAACCAGTCCAAAACCACTTCAGGACCAAACTCATCTCTTTTTCAGCTGTCAGCCCAAAGAGTCAGATAGTGACTCATAGGACTCTGTCTACAAGTTTTTAATACAGAGGAGGTGGGTACAGAGGCCAGGACTAAACCAGAACTGTTTAATAATAAAATAAACGTATGGCGCACCTCCGTGAACACATACTGCTGTTATATAAAGTCACCGTGAACACATACTGCTGTTATATAAAGTCACCGTGAACACATACTGCTGTTATATAAAGTCACCGTGAACACATACTACTGTTATATAAAGTCACCGTGAACACATACTGCTGTTATATAAAGTCACCTCCGTGAACACATACTGCTGTTATATAAAGTCACCGTGAACACATACTACTGTTATATAAAGTCACCGTGAACACATACTACTGTTATATAAAGTCACCTCCGTGAACACATACTGCTGTTATATAAAGTCTCCTCCGTGAACACATACTGCTGTTATATAAAGTCACCGTGAACACATACTACTGTTATATAAAGTCACCGTGAACACATACTACTGTTATATAAAGTCACCTCCGTGAACACATACTGCTGTTATATAAAGTCTCCTCCGTGAACACATACTACTGTTACATAAAGTCACCGTGAACACATACTGCTGTTATATAAAGTCTCCTCCGTGAACACATACTACTGTTACATAAAGTCACCGTGAACACATACTGCTGTTATATAAAGTCTCCTCCGTGAACACATACTACTGTTATATAAAGTCACCGTGAACACATACTACTGTTATATAAAGTCACCGTGAACACATACTGCTGTTATATAAAGTCACCTCCGTGAACACAGACTGCTGTTATATAAAGTCACCTCCGTGAACACATACTACTGTTATATAAAGTCACCTCCGTGAACACATACTGCTGTTATATAAAGTCTCCGTGAACACATACTGCTGTTATATAAAGTCACCTCCGTGAACACATACTGCTGTTATATAAAGTCACCTCCGTGAACACATACTACTGTTATATAAAGTCACCTCCGTGAACACATACTGCTGTTATATAAAGTCACCTCCGTGAACACATACTGCTGTTATATAAAGTCTCCGTGAACACATACTGCTGTTATATAAAGTCTCCTCGGTGAACACATACTGCTGTTATATAAAGTCACCGTGAACACATACTGCTGTTATATAAAGTCACCGTGAACACATACTGCTGTTATATAAAGTCACCTCCGTGAACACATACTGCTGTTATATAAAGTCTCCTCCGTGAACACATACTGCTGTTATATAAAGTCACCGTGAACACATACTGCTGTTATATAAAGTCACCTCCGTGAACACATACTGCTGTTATATAAAGTCACCGTGAACACATACTGCTGTTATATAAAGTCACCTCCGTGAACACATACTGCTGTTATATAAAGTCTGTGAATGTCTCAGAAATGTAGAGAATGTGCGTCCAGTGCGTGTGAACGTAGCTTTTCTCTTGGGACCAACACGTATGATATGTGAAAAAGTCAGGTACCCCAGCTTTAAGGTACTGAGACTGACCTTGACCTCCTCCTCTTCCTCCTTTTCCTCCTTTACCTCCTCTTCCTCCTCTTCCTCCGTGATCGCTGGGGCCTCCTTTGATGGAGGCATGGGTGGTTTGAGGACTCTGGTCTGGCTTGGATCCGACTGTTCTGTGGAGGCTGTTTCTTTAAGGTTCTCATCTCCGTCCACTGCTGATGAGGCGTGGCTCCCCATGGAAATCATGGCACTGTCCAGATCCAAGTCCAGACGCAGGAGGCCATCCGAGGAGACATCTGCAACCTGAAAACAGATGAAGTAAGTTAAAGCCTTTTCTTTTTGTATTATCTTTTTTTTTAACCAGTTCATCTTTAAGGTTCTGTTCAGACACTCCAGATAAAGTGCCTTCAGGCCTCCTTCATTGGTATGTTTGACCATATGACTTTTCTTTATATCGTGTTTTTTATTTTGGAGCCATATATTCCATTTTGTTTTACATTCTTTAAGTTTGTTCTGTATATTAACTGTCTGATATATCTTTTTGTCTTTACGCCTAGATATTTAAGAGGTATATTGTGTATTTCTTTAAAGCAGTATCATGAAGAGACAAGATTTCACATTTTTTAAGGTTTAAGCAAAGCCCTGATGCTATGGAGAATTGCTCAATTTTATCCAATCCAATCCAATCCACTTTATTTATATAGCACATTTAAACAACAAAACGTTTCCAAAGTGCTGAACAACAATAACAATAAAACAAAAACAATACAAATGAGCTCCACCAAATAAATAGAAATAAAACAATTTAAAAGACTGAATAGAAATAAAAACACATTAAAAACTACAAATAAAAATAAAATTCAATCAAATAGATAAAAAGACACAGGGGGACCACACAACTTACGCGGTGCTAAAAGCCAAAGAATAAAAGTGAGTCTTAAGACGGGATTTAAAACACTCCACGGTGGGGGCCGTACGGATGTGGAGGGGCAGAGCGTTCCACAGCTTAGGGCCGACAATGGAGAACGCTCTGTCCCCTCTGGTTTTACGGTTCGTCTTCAGAACCACGAGCTGGAGCTGGCCCTCAGACCTCAAAGCGCGAGAGGGCCGGTAAATTTGGATGAGGTCTGTAATATACTGAGGGGCCAGTCCATTCAAAGCTTTAAAAACAAACAATAAAATTTTAAAATCAATTCTAAAATTAACAGGGAGCCAGTGCAAGGACGCAAGGATTGGGGTAATATGTTCGCGTTTTTTGGTCCCTGTTAAGAGTCGTGCCGCAGCGTTCTGGACTAACTGCAAACGAGAGAGTGCTTTCTGGCTAATTCCCGAGTAAAGTGCGTTACAGTAGTCCAGACGGCTTGAAATAAAAGCGTGCACGACTTGCTCAAAAAGATTAAAAGATAAAAAGGGCTTAACTTTAGATAAAAGACGAAGATGATAAAAACCCGATTTTAAAACGCCATTAATCTGTTTATCAAATTTAAAATCACTGTCTATGGTGACGCCAAGGCTGGTGACCTTGGGATGCAAATAGTTTTGGAGTGATCCCAAGTCCGTGAGGTTACATCCAAATGTCATTACTTCTGTTTTTCCCTCGTTCAGTTTTAAAAAATTCTGGGCTAACCAAGCCTTGACGTCACCTAGACAGTCGAGCAGGGGTGTCAGGGGGCTGTGGTCATTCTTAGCAATGGGCATGTACATTTGACAGTCATCTGCATAAAAGTGGTAAGACATGCCATGTTTCTTAAAAATCTCTCCAAGTGGGAGGAGATATATTGCAAACAAAATGGGTCCCAGGATAGATCCCTGGGGGACTCCACAGCTTTTGGGATTTTGGGATTAAGAACATTAAGTTTCTGAATATCTTTACTGTTTTTATATATATGGACAGAAGTTCAGTTACTAAAATAACACCTACATCCACAGTAAAGCTCGGAGTAGAACCCTTAGAGAGGAGAACACAGCTATTGTCTCCATTGTCTCCAATCCACAGATAACCATCCAACAGCCAGAAAGGCTCTTTGAGCTAACTTACTTTGCACCTGTAAATGATAAAACTGTCCAAGAGATAATCTCCAGTTTGAGCTCCTCCACATGCAGCTTGGATGTACTACCCACTAGATTTCTAAAGTCTGTTCTGAGCAGTCTGTTACCTTCACTCACACAGATAGTAAACATGTCCCTTCATTCTGGAATATTCCCAAAGGCCCTGAAAACTGCAGTCATCAGGCCCTTGCTAAAAAAGAGCAGTCTGGATGCTACGGTACTTAACAACTATCGTCCCATCTCAAATCTGCCATTTATGGGGAAAGTCCTTGAAATAATTGTCTACCTACAACTTACTAGATTTCTTATAATCAACAACTCATTTGATATGTTTCAGTCCGGCTTTAGACCCCACTACAGCACTGAGACTGCTCTCGTCAAGGTTACAAATGATATCCGGCTGAACACTGACGCAGGCAAAGTCTCAATCCTAATCCTGTTAGATCTGAGTGCTGCCTTTGACACCGTCGACCATGAGATCCTCTTACAGAGACTAGAGGACTGGGTTGGCGTCACTGGCACCGCCCTAAGTTGGTTTAGGTCTTACCTTGAGGACAGGAAGTACTTTGTGGAGATTGGAAACTGTGTCTCAGATCATATGGCCCTGACCTGTGGAGTACCACAGGGGTCGATCCTGGGACCTCTTCTGTTCAATCTCTACATGCTGCCGTTAGGTCAGTTAATACGCAGAAACAAAGTGTCCTATCACAACTATGCAGACGACACTCAGATCTATGTCTCACTGACTGCAGGAGAACATGGACCAGTGGACTCACTCCTTCACTGTATCCAACAGATCAGTGAGTGGATGCAAAACAACTTCCTTCAGCTAAACGCAGACAAAACTGAAATGATTGTCTTTGGTCCCCAGAAACAAAGAGAGAGCGTCATCTGTCATCTACAGTCTCTCTCCCTAAAACCTTCAAACAAGGTCAGAAATCTAGGGGTAATACTGGACTCAGACTTAAATTTTAATAGCCACATCAAATCAGTAACATCAGCAGCTTTTTACCATCTAAAAAACATTGCCAGGATCAAAAACATAGTGTCTAAAGCAGACCTGGAGATTCTTATCCATGCATTTGTCTCCAGTAGGTTAGACTACTGCAATGGCCTGCTCACAGGTCTGTCCAAACAGGCTGTAAAACAGCTGCAGTACATTAAAAATGCAGCAGCTTGAGTCCTGACTAGAACCAGGAAGTACGACCACATTAGTCCAGTTCTCAGGTCTCTGCACTGGCTTCCTGTGGCTCAGAGAATAGACTTTAAAACAGCTCTGCTTGTGTACAAGTCTCTCCATGGCCTCGCACCAAAATATATTAGTGACATGTTAGTCCCATATGAACCAGCCCGGACTTTGAGGAGCACAGGGACTGGACTCCTGTTAGTGCCCAGAGTCAGAACTAAACATGGGGAGGCTGCTTTTCAGATTCATGCTGCTAAAATCTGGAACAATCTTCCTGAAGATGTGAGACAGGCCTCCTCTCTGACAATGTTTAAAACCAGGTTAAAAACGATGCTGTTTAGCTGTGCATACAACTGAGGGATTTTATATTTTTATCTTTCTTAATGTTCTGTGATTATTTATTCTATCTTGTTCAGCACTTTGAGTTGCCTTGTGTATGAATTGTGCTATACAAATAAACTTGCCTTGCCTATTTATGTTTTCATATCGATCACAAATTAGTTTTCTAGATTTTCCACCGAACCCAAAGTGTTCAAGTTTAGCAAAAATACATGAATGTTCAACAGAATCAAAGGCAATGGAAGAATGCTTGAGATTGGTTTTTTGGTTTTTTTGTTCTGACATGGCTATTGAGAGTGAGGAGTTGTCGTCATAGCACAGAGCCCCTCCCCGTCTCCGCCATGTTGGTAGGAACCCAGCGGCAAACAGTTGTTGTTAACTCGGTAGCAAAGGAGGTCATCGCTATTTCTGTTTTACCATGCCTGGAGCTCATTGCTGTGTGAAAAACTGCTCCAGTACCTCACACAATAAGAAAGGAAAACGTAGGAACAACGGTTTACAATTTTTTAGGCTACCAAAATGGATACAACATCAGGGAGCGCAAGTGTCTGACCTGACGAAGAGACGCCGGATGGCTTGGTTGGCTGCAATAAGAAGAAAGGACCTTACTTTCGATCTCACCCCCCAGTCGATAAGAGTGTGTTCTCTGCATTTTCACTCGGGTACGTCCTAAAATGTCTTTATGTTGTTTTTTTTAAAGTTAAGAAGTGTAGGTTACCTAGCTGTTAAGGTTGCAAACACTGAAGTGCATCTTAAGTTAGCTGCCTAGCTAACTATCTAACAAACTGTTGCCTCTATGAAAATGCTTAATGGCCAACCATTAATGTTAACTAAGAATATTTAAGTTTCTGCTCATTATCCTACCTTGTTGGTGGAATATGGGCACTCAAAGTGCGTTTGTCTCTGTCTCTTATGTTCTCTAAACCAGTTGTGCCCAAACTTTTTTTTTGTCTTGTGTTGCCACTACCCCCTGAGCCCTTTTATGAAACCATGAATAGCGTTACCTTCTTGTTTAATATTTCTTTAGATTCCAGATTGTTTAATAATCTTATTAATCTGATGTAAGTAAACCATTATATGAGATTGCTAAAAATAGTTGAGATTCTGTTCATGACATTATGCTACCTTGTTGCAAGTTTAAAGCATTGACTACATAGATTATTCTGTTCTAGGTAAACCATCATATGAGATGTTGGAGAATCACCCTGACTGGACACCATCCTTGCGGTTAGGCCACAATAATGTTAAAGAAACAGATGGAGCGCGATATCAGCGGCAAGTAAAGCGCAGGACCCAGCATCTGGAGCAGTCATCACTCCCAGCCCAAGCCCAGCAGCCTCCATCGCCAGCCCAAGCCCAGCAGCCCCCATCGCCAGCCCAAGCCCAGCAGCCTCCATCACCAGCCCAAGCCCAGCAGCCTCCATCACCAGCCCAAGCCCAGCAGCCCCCATCGCCAGCCCAATCCCAGCAGCCTCCATCGCCAGCCCAAGCCCAGCAGCCTCCATCGCCAGCCCAAGCCCAGCAGCCCCCATCGCCAGCCCAATCCCAGCAGCCTCCATCGCCAGCCCAAGCCCAGCAGCCCCCATCGCCAGCCCAATCCCAGCAGCCTCCATCGCCAGCCCAAGCCCAGCAGCCTCCATCGCCAGCCCAAGCCCAGCAGCCTCCATCGCCAGCCCAAGCCCAGCAGACCCCATCGCCGGCCCAGCAGCTGCCTCAAGGAAGGATGAGGAAGCTCTCACCCTTCCAGCTTGTCCTATTAACTGTAATGCGCCTCAGATTAGACCTTCCATCTCAGAATTCACGTTGAGAGGGTGATTGGTGTTGTGCGCAACAAATTCAAATTCTTACATTCAACTGTACCTGTGCATATGCTTCTCAAATGTGAGGGTGAAAACCTAATGCCTTTAGATAAGATTGTCACTGTTTGCTGTGCCTTAACGAACATGTGCAAAAGTGTTGTTTGAGTGCCTTGTTCATAACTTATGAACCAACCAGAACCCCTCATGTCATCTGGATCCGAGTCCAGAGTCAGAACCAGACACGGAGAAGCTGCATTCAGCTTCTATGCTCCACATGTCTGGAACAAACTCCCAGAAAGCCTCAGATCAGCTGAAACACTCAGTTTGTTTACATCCAGGTTAAAGACCCACCTGTTCTCAGCTGCTTTTGAATATTTTTTATTCTAATGTACAAATCTGCACGGCTTCTTTTAAGCTGGAATTACTTGTCTGTTATCTTTTTCTTATGAATTTTTGTTTTTAATTTTAAATCATGCTTTTTATTCTGTTACTTTTTAATGCTTCTGCACCCAGCTGTAATGCTTCTTAATTTTTAATTTAAAGTACTTTGAATTGTTTTGTAACATGAATTGTGCTGTACAAATACAGCCTTTTTAATTTCTTTGAAATAAATGTTTGAAACACCTTCATGTGGCAAAGCAATATTTATTGAGAAATTAACATTTTTTTGGAGGGGGGGTGTAATCTCTTGGAAAAGTTAATAGTGCAAAAGAACGTGTGCAGTCAACGTATAAATATTTCAGCATGAAAAGACGGACAACATAATAATAAAATAGTGGTAAATATTTACTGATAGTGCAAAAGAACCAAACATACCAACAAAAAAACACTATTTGGCTCAGGAAAAGAACGTGTGCATTAAAAGTATAAATATTTCCAGCATGTAAACATAAACAACATAAGTAATAATAATACTGTTATTAGTGCAAAAGAACAAACAACATCCAAACAATAAAAAAATGGGGGTTTTTTGTATGTTTTTTGTTCTTTTGCACTAATTATAGTATTTCATTATTATGTTGTTTATGTTTACATGCTGGAAATATTTATACTTTGAATGCACAGTTTTGCACACGTTCTTTTCTTAAGCTGAATAGTGGCACTATTCGGCTTAAGAAAAGAACGTGTGCTGTCAACGTATAAATATTTCAGCATGAAAAGATGGACAACATAATAAAATAGTAATACTGCTTAGTGCAAGTACAACGGTGTTTTCACCACCTGGAGGCTTGTAGATGGCCAAGTCCTGCACCCAACCACAGCAGAAAGCCTCGTAACTCTCCAGTGACTTGTGACTTCTAAACTCCTGCATTGTATAATAACTAACACCGAAAACAAGGTAATTCACTATATCCATGTACGTGCACGGAGGCAAAAAGTCAAGGTATTTTTGCCACTCCGCTGCAGGAAGCTCGTATGGGTCTACCTGTTGTATGTCTGAGAGCTTCTCCAAATAACGTTGTTTTGCTTTTCCCTGTACGGTCCATTTCCTTTCGCCTTCACTTTCTCCATTAACTGTCTTGCTAGTGTTGTAATCGTAGATTACCGAAATAATAAACGCGCTCACGTTAAAGACCTCTGGAGCGTTAGCATAGACTGTATATATTGAGCGTTAGTGGCGTTGCCCCTGGCAACCGATAGAGGATCCTATCAACATGGCCGACCGGATTAGACCCCGCCCAAATTATCACGTCACTCCTCATTCTCAATAGCGAGAACACAGTGATCTCAACATGACCGCCTACGCTGGACAAGCTATGGAGCAAGGAAAAAGATTAACCAATGAGCTTTCAGCAGAGGCATCCCGGCCCACCCCATGATTTGCATATCATTAAGAGAAATACGGAAATAAATACAGAAATAAATAAATAGAAAAAAAAAATGCAAAAATAAATAAATAAATAGAGAAATAAATAAATAAATATAGAAATAAATACATAAATATAGAAATAAATAAATATATAAATAAATATATAAATAAATAAATACAGAAATAAATGCACTTATTCTCATAATTGCATGCATTTCTTTGCAAATTTTATCTTTTTTAAATGTATTTATTTATTTATTTATTTCTGTATATATTTATTGTTTTGGCAGCCACGGTCCTCCATACCCTCAGTCTGAATCAGAAACTCTTCTTTCCAGCTCAATTACCTTTTCCTCCAGTTGGATATTCTTCTCTTTGAGGGCTTTTGTATATCTTTTGTTACCACTTTGCATTCTTGTATTTCAGCAGAGTTGAATTCCAGACACTTGTTTATGTTGGATATAGCCAGAGTGTTGCGTTGTATGTCTGACTTGATGTCTATCACCAGAGAATGAAGAGCCTGAATCTCTCCGGATTGTGATTGTATTGCATTCAAAACGTCAGCAAAAGAAGGAGAACCCATACTGGAATCAAGAGGATTTTATTTTCTTTAGAGGTTGTTGAGTAGCTTTAGATGGCGAGGTAAGGGCATTTTTATTCTGCTTTACTTCAGTTTCCATTGCCTCGAGCGCGCAGTAGTCATGAAGGATGGCCGTTTTCGCTGTCTTAGCATTAGCACTACTTTTAGCCATGAGTCCAATCAAAGTTTGTCCAACTGTTAATGAATATACTTGCTTGAGAGCAGGACAATGTGTAGCGTGTTGCCAAAGGTTGTGAAAGAGTCTGGTGTGATGATAGTTGTTGGTCCTGTTTGTTTTAATTCAGGGTTTTCACCGTAGAACAGTTAACGGGCATCAGCTCAAGCCCCGGCGATCCAAGATGGCGCCCTATTCAAATGAATGGTTGTGCTCAGTGGCGCTTTGTGACAGCACGGGGGCTGAAAGATTAGCGGAAGTTGCCTGAAACTCGCAAAGATCTATGGGAAACTCGCCTGTATTTGGGCATCGTCTGGTCCTCCCAGTTCTGCGCAGTGGATGATCTCCCATAATGCGTTGCGCCAAACACGCGTGTGTGGGTCTCACACCAGGTCTCACGCACGTGCACAGAGGGGCTCGGCCGCGCTCTGACCAATCAGAGCAGTTCATCAGAGCGGGAGTTAGAGCGACAGCCAGAGGAGCAGAGTTTGTGGCACTAAAGTGTGGATTTAAACAAAACCGAAGGATTTAAGAAGAAAAAAAGTTCAGGATGACAAGGGACACTAAAATCCCCACAAAATCCGACCTTTATTAAAGCTGTAGGTTCTCTGTCAGCTGAGGTTGAGCTGTTTTAATATGCATTGAGTTCTATGGGGAAAATTTCTGGGTAGCCCACGTGAATTTAGTCTGGTTCAGTCTGGTTCAGTCTGCAGTACCGCGAGAATCCCCTGAGCACGTGAGTTATTCAGCAACAAGCTAGTAATACCCTATCCAGTTAATATAATACATCCATGCATCAGCTCCCCCCGCCATCTTGCCCGGTCCACCAAGGAAGTTAGTCATTTGAAAGTACACTGCTTAGTGTTTACTGCCACCTAGTGTCGAGATCTTATATTACAGTCTAAAGAACTACGGAAGCCTTCGAGGACACCAGAGCAGCTCTTTATCCCTGTCTGTTTCATCTCATAATCTAATTTAATCTAATCTGATCTAATCTATTATAATCTAATTTAATCTAATTTAATCTAATTTACCATAATTTGATCTGATTTAATCTAATCAGAATCAGAATTATTCTTATTGCCACGTAAGTAACAAACAAAAGTTACCACTTGGAAATTGTTTTGGCAGAATCTAATTGAATGTCATTTAACATTATCCTTCTTTAGTGCTAAAGTACGCAGTTACAGGTTACTATGGCAACGGTACATTCAAATCTAAAACCTCTTTGGTCTGAGTCTGTCAGATTGAAATACCTCTTTCATGTGGATCCGGGTCGGGGGCCGTTTGGTCCGTTTGGGTCTGGACCGAGTCACATGATCCAAGTTACTGCTCTCATCCACCGTCACCTGCAGGAACAACATGGTTTTACACTTAAAGCTCAGGTACCTAACTTTCAAACACCAAAAGCTGAACTATGTAAACCAGGGGTGCTCACACTTTTTCAGCATGCGAGCTACTTATAAAAGGATCAAGTCAAAATGATCTACCTACTACAAAAATGCAAATCATATATTTATTTCAAAAAATATTCTTTATACCTACAATGTATGTTTATGTACATGCAAAACCGCATGAGCCAATTTAGCACAACACAATTACCTATGTACATTTTTTGTCATTACCCGAGTTTACTCTGATGACTTGCACTGAATTGAATCGGCCAGGGAGGCATAGTCCGGAAAATTGGTGGTAACTCGCTGACAAGTTTGTCGTGGTTTAGCTTTCCTGCACTGAGCGCGGTTGTTTGCGCATGTGCAGTCACCTAAGTGTCAGTAAAACATTACTGAGTAAAACACAGATGTCATTTGACTGTGGTGCCATGTCCATGTGCCATGCCTGTTTTTTTAAAATCCAAATATTTCCCCTCCTCAGTTTATAAAATAATTTGCATCCACACATCTGCGTTATCAATCACATTCGTAACATTCCAAACATGTGCGTCTCTTACGTCCTGTCCTGCGTTGGGGAAAAACACGGAAGTGGGCGGAGCTTTGATGCAGACGCCGGTAACGGCACTTTTACAGTCATAGAAGACACTCAGAGTAAAGATGTATGTTTACAAGCACTGACCCCGTCCTCAGTCCTGGTTTAGTCCTGGTTTAGTCCTGGTTTAGTCCTGGTTTAGTCCTGGTTTAGTCCTGGTTTGGTTGTTTTCGAGCGTGAGTCCCCGCGATCACTTTGCTGCTCTCTGATGTGGAGGATGTTCGCTGCTGCGAGCATCTCACAGCGAACAGTTTTTAAGGTAGTATGATCCATGCTTCAGTGATCAGAGGAATTTAGGGGGGTACTGTGGCGTGCGAGAACGCAAAACTCTGGTTATCTCTGTCTACACACAAATGCATTAACAGAGTTTTCAAAAATCTCCACTTTGCCCGGAGTTTTTTGTATATATTCGTTTAGAATGTGTAATTTTTTCATTTATTTAATGCGATCTACCAATACTACCTTTGCGATCGACTGGTAGATCGCGATCGACGTATTGAGCACCCCTGATGTAAACCGTCTATAACTAGGTCCTTGCTCTCCAAATGCAGGTGCGACATCACCATAGACTGTAAACGCTAACCCGCAAGCTCAATGAAACCCAATAGGAAAGTGCTCATGAACAAAGTTTTCCTCCATCTCGCTCTGACTTCTATTGGCTCACATGTAAAAGTAAACTCCAGAAGCTGTTTGTCTCACACTCTCCATCAGCTCTATGGTAGCTCTGACCAATCAGAGGCCAGTGACATCAGCTCTATGCTAGCTCTGACCAATCAGAGGTCGGTGACATCAGCTCTATGCTAGCTCTGACCAATCAGAGGTCGGTGACATCAGCTCTATGCTAGCTCTGACCAATCAGAGGCCGGTGACATCAGCTCTATGCTAGCTCTGACCAATCAGAGGTCGGTGACATCAGCTCTATGCTAGCTCTGACCAATCAGAGGTCGGTGACGTCAGCTCTATGCTAGCTCTGACCAATCAGAGGCCAGTGACATCAACTCTATGCTAGCTCTGACCAATCAGAGGCCAGTGACATCAGCTCTATGGTAGCTCTGACCAATCAGAGGCCAGTGACATCAGCTCTATGCTAGCTCTGACCAATCAGAGGTCGGTGACATCAGCTCTATGCTAGCTCTGACCAATCAGAGGTCGGTGACATCAGCTCTATGCTAGCTCTGACCAATCAGAGGCCGGTGACATCAGCTCTATGCTAGCTCTGACCAATCAGAGGCCAGTGACATCAGCTCTATGCTAGCTCTGACCAATCAGAGGTCGGTGACGTCAGCTCTATGCTAGCTCTGCCCAATCAGAGGCCGGTGACATCAGCTCTATGCTAGCTCTGACCAATCAGAGGCCGGTGACATCAGCTCTATGCTAGCTCTGACCAATCAGAGGCCGGTGACATCAGCTCTATGCTAGCTCTGACCAATCAGAGGCCGGTGACATCAGCTCTATGGTAGCTCTAATCTCTAACTTTGAAGTGTTGTGTGTCACACACATTATGAACACACATTATAACTGTTTTATTGTAACTTCTTACTTGGTCAAACACTTTGTTCTTGGCTCGGTCGATGGCGTCACTGAGGGCTTTGATCCAAGACCTTCTGTCCTCCTCAGACTGGGCCTGGAACTTCAGGTCCTGGACCTGCAGGAAAACCACTGATTTAACAAACTTGGCTTTTAACGGTTTGTTAAGAGAAAATATAAAATCCTATAAACAGGATATACAAGCAGCTGTGGAGGAGCGGCTGTGGAGGAGCGGCTGTGGAGACGCGGCTGTGGAGGAGCGGCTGTGGAAGAGCGGCTGTGGAGGGGCGGCTGTGGAAGAGCGGCTGTGGAAGAGCGGCTGTGGAGGAGCGGCTGTGGAAGAGCGGCTGTGGAAGAGCGGCTGTGGAAGAGCGGCTGTGGAGGAGCGGCTGTGGAAGAGCGGCTGTGGAAGAGCGGCTGTGGAAGAGCGGCTTTGGAGGAGCGGCTGTGGAAGAGCGGCTGTGGAAGAGCGGCTGTGGAGGAGCGGCTGTGGAGGAGCGGCTGTGGAAGAGCGGCTGTGGAGGAGCGGCTGTCGACGGGCGGCTGAGGAGCGGCTGTGGAGGAGTTTTTCATCCCTCACTTGTTAATAGTCTGTTGATAACGTCTGAAATCCATAATGAAGTGTGTTGTTTTGGGTCGTCACTGCGGAAACCAGAGGAGGTCGCCAAGACTGGGGGAGACTGAGGGAGACTGGGTTAGACTGAGGGAGACTGAGGGAGACTGGGTTAGACTGAGGGAGATTGAGGGAGACTGGGTTAGACTGAGGGAGATTGAGGGAGACTGGGTTAGACTGAGGGAGATTGAGGGAGACTGAGGCAGACTGGGGGAGACTGGGGGAGGCTGGGAGAGACTGGGGGAGACTGAGGGAGACTGGGGAAGACTGAGGGGGAGACTGAGGGAGACTGGGGGAGACTGAGGGAGACTGGGGGAGACTGAGGGAGACTGAGGCAGACTGAGGGAGACTGAGGGAGAATGGGGAAGACTGAGGGAGACTGAAGGAGACTGAGGGAGACTGGGGGAGACTGAGGGAGACTGAGGCAGACTGAGGGAGACTGAGGGAGACTGAGGGAGACTGAGGGAGACTGGGGGAGACTGGGAAAGACTGGGGGAGACTGAGGGAGACTGAGGGAGACTGGGGGAGACTGAGGCAGACTGAGGGAGACTGAGGGAGACTGGGGTAGACTGAGGGAGACTGAGGGAGACTGAGGGAGACTGGGGGAGACTGGGAAAGACTGGGGGAGACTGAGGGAGACTGAGGGAGACTGGGGGAGACTGAGGCAGACTGAGGGAGACTGAGGCAGACTGGGGTAGACTGAGGGAGACTGAGGGAGACTGGGGAAGACTGAGGGAGACTGGGGGAGACAGTCTCCCTCAGTCAGGGTATGTGTAGGGTATAGCAGGGTATGGCAGGGTATGACAGGGTATGGCAGGGTATGACAGGGTATGGCAGGGTATGACAGGGTATAGCAGGGTATGACAGGGTATAACAGGGTATGGCAGGGTATAACAGGGTATGGCAGGGTATGACAGGGTATAGCAGGGTATGACAGGGTATAACAGGGTATGACAGGGTATAACAGGGTATGACAGGGTATAACAGGGTATGACAGGGTATAACAGGGTATGGCAGGGTATGACAGAGTATAGCAGGGTATGACAGGGTATAACAGGGTATGGCAGGGTATAGCAGGGTATGACAGGGTATAACAGGGTATGGCAGGGTATAGCAGGGTATGGTAGGGTATAGCAGGGCATGACAGGATATAACAGGGTATGGTAGGGTATGGCAGCAAGTACCTTGTTTGGAGATTTGGGCGATCGCAAAAGGATCAGTTTGTGTTTCTTCTTGAAGCCGCTCTTCATTTCCTGGCATTTCTCGTAGTTTTCCAAATCCACTCGTTCCAGACAATTCTTCTGGTCCTGAAAAAATAAATAAAATAATTTAAAAGAATAAGTCAAAGAGGAAACTTTGAATCTGAAATCCTGAAGAAGAAACAAGAAAGAATAGAGTTTAAAACAGTCTGTCCACGGCCTCGGACCAGAGCACATCTGAGTCAATGGATCAATAAAACACAATGAATCACCTCGTTTTCATAGAGGAGGATCTCGGTCCGGTCCACAGAGACGTAGCGGTCTTTGTAGCTGAACAGGACCCGGCCGTGGGCTTTCTTCATCCACCCACACTTCCCCTGGAACCTGCCTCTGCTCTGGGGCTCCTGTCTCTGCAGGAAGGAAGGAGGTTTCAGTCCTGGGTCTACAGCCTCAGTCCATGGATCTATAATTATAACTGGATCGGGTATTACTAGCTTACAGCTGTCCCACCCATGGGCACAGGGGGCGCTGTGGTACTGCAAACTAAATTCAAGAGGGCTACCCAGAAAAAAGTTCCATAGAACTCAATGTAAATTAAAACAGCTCGACCTCAGCTGACAGAGAACCTGACAGATAACCTACAGCTTTCATAAAGATCAGATTTTTGTGGGGATTTTAGTGTCCCTTGTCATCCTGAACTTTTTTTCTTCTTAAATCCTTCGGTTTTCTTTAAGTCCACACTTTACTGCCACAAACTCTGCTCCTTGCCTTCCCGCTCTGCTGCTGTTCTGATCAGCAGCTCTGATTGGTCAGAGCGCGGCCGAGCCCCTCTGTGCACGTGCATGAAAGCCACACACGCGTGTTTGGTGCAACGCATCATGCGAGATAATCCACTACGCAGAACCAGGAGGACCAGACGATGCCCAAATACAGGTGAGTTCTGCTAATCTCACGGTCTCCATGAAGTCCCATGATCTACTGAGCACAAGCCATTCATTGTAATAGGGCGCCATCTTGGATCACCGGGGCTTGCCTCGGTCTTGGGTCTACAGTCTCAGTCCTGGGTCTACAGCCTCAGTCCTGGGTCTACAGGCCAGTCCTTGTGCTCTTCACACCTGTACCTTATGTTAAGGTTTCTGTAAAAGTTCAAATGTACCTAGAAGTCATAGTTTTATTATTACTATTGTTATTATTAACATTATTAATATTAATAATATTATTATTATCAATAATATATTATTACAAATTTAACACAGACTCAGGGCTCAAACTTCTGCCTTTGGTCATAAAAGGAAACAGAGTAAATAGAGAAGCTGAAAATAACAGGAACTGAAACTAAAACTAACTTTCATAAAGGAACAACTTTAACTTCTACAAATGAGTCACTCAGAGAAATGTTCTTTAGATATTGATTATTTTAGTAACCACACTGTCCATTAACCATTGACTCTGGACACAACATCCATATATATATATATATATATATATATATATATATATATATATATATATATATATATACAGTATATGCATACAGTATGTTACCAGTTAGTCCTACAATCACAGTGACTATTATATTTATATTTCATTATTTCATGACTATTGATTATATATAGATTATATATATATATATATATATATATATATATATATATATATATATATGTATACATATATCTATTTGACTAGTAACTAATAATATATAACAGAACTTTAACTAATAATATAAAACAGAACTTTCTGCTTTTATAAATGACTCAAACTTCCTTAAATTACATCTCTGCAGTTCGGTACGTTCATCTTCTTCCCCTTAATCCATTTCTGGGTTGAGGTGGCAGTCAGAGCTTCACCCTGTACACCAGCACCTCATTGCTCGTCCTGGTCCTCACTGCTCCTCCTGGTCCTCCTGGTCCTCACTGCTCCTCCTGGTCTTCACTGCTCCTCCTGGTCTTCACTGCTCCTCCTGGTCTTCACTGGTCCTCTCTGCTCCTCCTGGTCCTCACTGGTCCTCACTGCTCCTCCTGGTCCTCACAGCTCCTCCTGCTTCTCCTGGTCCTCACTGCTCCTCCTGGTCCTCTTCTCTCTACTGCTCCTGCTCCTCTCTGCTCCTCCTGGTCCTCACTGCTCCTCCTGGTCCTCTCCTCTCTACTGTTGCTGCTCCTCACTGCTCCTTCTGGTCCTCTCCTCTCTACTGTTCCTGCTCTTCTCTGCTCCTCACTGCTCCTCCTGGTCCTCTCTACTCCTCCCGCTCCTCACTGCTCCTCCTGCTCCTCCTGGTCCCCCTCCCTGCTCCTCCTACTCCTCTCTGCTCCTCCCTGCTCCTCCTACTCCTCTCGGCTCCTCCCTGCTCCTCCTGGTCCTCTCTGCTCCTCCTGCAGGTGCTGAGTCCACAGGAGGCTGATCTGTCTGTGACATCACAGCCTTGGTCTTTCAGTGGAGGCTTCAGGCAAAGTGGGGTCTTGCCCATGGACACAACAACAGACATCAGTGGGAGTCTGTGGAGAAGGTCTCATGGAGGGATCGAACCCACAACCTTCAGGCTCAAAGGCCAAGGCTCTGAGCCACTGTCGGCGAAGCTCATGTGTACATTCCACATATGTTGTTCCAGGGCTGCCGTGGCTCGAAGGGGAGGGGCCTCAAACATGGTTCTGATCCACATCTGGGACACATCTGGAGCTCATTGGCTTTGACCCCAACTCACACACACACACAGACAGACAGACACACACACACACCAACACCCACACACACAGACAGACAGACACACATACACACCAACACACACACACAGACACAGACAGACAGACACACATACACACCAACACACACACACACACAGACAGACAGACACACATTACACACACACACACACACACCAACTCACACACACACACACACCAACACACACACACACAGACAGACAGACACACATACACACACACACACACACACACACACACACACAAACAGACACACATATTCTCATGTACTTGTACTTTAGATATAACTCCTGCTCTATATGTACAGTATATAACTCCTGTCCTAGGCAAGGCAAGGAAAGTTTATTTGTATAGCACAATTCATACACAAGGCAACTCAAAGTGCTGAACAAAATAAGAAAGCATTAAAATCATAAATAATCACAGAACATTAAAAAGAAAGATAAAAACATAAAATCCCTCAGTTGTATGCACAGCTAAACAGAACTGTTTTTAACCTGGTTTTAAACATTGTCAGAGAGGAGGCCTGTCTCACATCTTCAGGAAGACTGTTCCAGATTTTAGCAGCATGAATCTGAAAAGCAGCCTCCCCATGTTTAGTTCTGACTCTGGGCACTAACAGGAGTCCAGTCCCTGTGCTCCTCAGAGTCCAGTCCCTGTGCTCCTCAGAGTCCGGGCTGGTTCATATGGGACTAACATGTCACTAATATATTTTGGTGCGAGGCCATGGAGAGACTTGTAACAAGCAGAGCTGTTTTAAAGTCTATTCTCTGAGCCACAGGAAGCCAGTGCAGAGACCTGAGGACTGGACTAATGTGGTCGTACTTCCTGGTTCTAGTCAGGACTCGAGCTGCTGCATTTTGAATGTACTGCAGCTGTTTTACAGCCTGTTTGGACAGACCTGTGAGCAGGCCATTGCAGTAGTCTAACCTACTGGATACAAATGCATGGATAAGAATCTCCAAGTCTGCTTTAGACACTATGTTTTTGATCCTGGCAATATTTTTTAGATGGTAAAAAGCTGCTGATGTTACTGATTTGATGTGGCTATTAAAATTTAAGTCTGAGTCCAGTATTACCCCTAGATTTCTGACCTTGTTTGAAGGTTTTAGGGAGAGAGACTGTAGATGACAGATGACGCTCTCTCTTTGTTTCTGGGGACCAAAGAAAATCATTTCAGTTTTGTTTGCGTTTAGCTGAAGGAAGTTGTTTTGCATCCACTCACTGATCTGTTGGATACAGTGAAGGAGTGAGTCCACTGGTCCATGTTCTCCTGCAGTCAGTGAGACATAGATCTGAGTGTCGTCTGCATAGTTGTGATAGGACACTTTGTTTCTGCGTATTAACTGACCTAACGGCAGCATGTAGAGATTGAACAGAAGAGGTCCCAGGATCGACCCCTGTGGTACTCCACAGGTCAGGGCTATATGATCTGAGACACAGTTTCCAATCTCCACAAAGTACTTCCTGTCTTCAAGGTAAGACCTAAACCAACTTAGGGCGGCGCCAGCGACTCCAACCCAGTCCTCTAGTCTCTGTAAGAGGATCTCATGGTCGACGGTGTCAAAGGCAGCACTCAGATCTAACAGGATTAGGATTGAGACTTTGCCTGCATCAGTGTTCAGCCGGATATCGTTTGTAACCTTAACGAGAGCAGTCTCAGTGCTGTGGTGGGGTCTAAAGCCGGACTGAAACATATCAAATGAGTTGTTGATTATAAGAAATCTAGTAAGCTGTTGGTAGACAACTTTCTCAAGGACTTTCCCCATAAATGGCAGATTTGAGATGGGACGATAGTTGTTAAGTACCGTAGCATCTAGACTGCTCTTTTTAAGCAGGGGCCTGATGACTGCAGTTTTCAGGGCCTTTGGGAATATTCCAGAATGAAGGGACATGTTTACTATCTGTGTGAGTGAAGGTAACAGACTGCTCAGAACAGACTTCAGAAAGCTCAAACTGGAGATTATCTCTTGGACCATTTGATCATTTACAGGTGCAAAGTAAGTTAGCTCAAAGAGCCTTTTTGGCTGTTGGATGGTATTGTACATATGGTATGGTCCTATATGTACAGTATATAACTCCTAAGAAACATAGCTACTACTTATTTTGTATATTTGTGTGCTCCCTGTGTCTCCTGTCTGTGCGCTGCAACATTGAAATTTCCCATGTGGGACAAACAAAAGAACTCTCATCTTATCTTAAGACCACACCAAGAGAAGTCTACTGCTTCACACAAATCATTTCCACACTCTTATTAATGACAGTTTGTTTTAAACCAATTTACAATTTAGCGTAGTTCTGTTAAGATTTCAAGTCTAGGACCAGACCAAGACCAGACCAGGACCAGTCCAGGACCAGACCAGGGCCAGACCAGGACCAGACAAGGACCAGTCCAGGACCAGACCAGGACCAGTCCAGGACCAGTCTGCGTACTGCCATAGAAAGAGAGAATGATGATTAGAGTTAAAGATAGAGTTTATCACTTATTATAGAGTTATTATACTTCAATAACACACCAAGTTGACTGCTCTGGTCCTAGTGTTGAACTTACAACAACATAACACAAATGAACACAAGTTACATGTGTATAAGAACTAAGTATAAGCAACGTTTGAGCGTGCAATATCAAAGTGTGCAATGTCTGAGCGTGCAATATCTAAGTGTGCAATACCATCTGTCCACCACTCATC